TTAAAATACCAACGCATCGAAAAAATGTCGAAAGCCAGCATGTGTCGAACTAGCACACATACAATTAATACATGTTGCAAACATTCGTTTTGTAATTATGAATACACTTCAGTGAATCGACCTTTTTTTCTCATTGTTCAAATTTAATGCAATTGAAACCGAAAATAGCACCCAGCCCACAAATTATCATTTTTAGTACTCAAAATGTTTGTAATCATACACTTGACACCTTTATATTTTTGGACAAAGATTATTAAATGCCACATGTCAATCTTTTATTGAAATTGGAGACCCCCTCTAACTTTTATATTCATCCATTGAAATCTGATTAAAAATCCTTGATTGAAAATATATATCATGTTTTGTGCCGCATGAAAAGAAGAAATAACTAACGCGCTCTGATTTTCATTGTCTACGAAAGATTTAGATACTTGAGATAGCACAATTAGCTTTGCTATCAATAGGGCTAAGCGATGGGGTTTCCACATTTCCTGGAGTTGAAGACCAATTTCTCAACTGCATGTTATACCTATATTATTAGTAGTTTGTTTGTCCACAGTTACCTTCTTAGTTTCATTGCTAGAAGATTATACCTGCTAAAATTACTTGTTGTAGTTCATTTCTTTCAATTTTGTAATTAACGATTATTTGGGTCTTTTTGCGGTGTATTATACGACTGCCTTCCTGTTTGCGTTTATACCTATATAGTTATATTTCCGGCAGAGAAAGCAAGAAAAACTTTTGTAATTATTTCACTGAGAATTCACCAAATAACTACGAAGCTGTATCTTTTTAGTGTTTTAGGTTCTATCGAACATATTGAGCGAACGTTTACAGCCCTTCGTCTTTTATTTTTACTTGGAAACAAGTGCTTTAAATTTCAAAGTCAGCTCAAGATTCTCAAGGTTTTTGGAACGCTCTGTATTGTATTTGAATTCCTGAATTGAGAGTTGACCAATCTTCTTGTAGTTCTTCATTAAATTATATACACGCAAGCCGGATTAGTATTTCCAAATAGCGTAGTAAATTATCACTAAAGTATAATCGTATTTTGAAATGCTTTATGCCCAACTGCAAACACGCAAAGAGAACGCGAAAATGACCAAAGCACTACACAATTGGAAAAGTCACCAAAACAACGCCGCACCTAAAATGATCTCAATTCCAAGTGTAGGTATTTCAGTAAGTCGCCAACTTTTTTCCCAACGAGATTATTTAATTAATATTAACGAACTTTACGTTTATTTGTTTCTCCCTCTGTCGACGGTGTTCTTACATCAAACACCCCGCCAGTCGGTTGACTTGCGAGTGACAGGCGACAAGCTGCTCGCTACGCTACCTTTGCTGATGGGCGGACATTACGGTAAACAGGCATGTAGGGGCTATTTACAATGTACTGGCACATGGCAGGTGAGCGTAAGCGCTGGAATTTTTCGTCCGCGACAGTAAGTCGACTTATGGCAAGGTCGTTCGTTAAGTCTGCAGAAATTCATTTCGTTTGCTTTTATCCCTCTTCCAGCTGCTCTACATGTTTCTTTGGCTGTGCAATTGTGCGGCGAGTGTGTGAAATTATTTATGCATCATATGCACTTCGTCCGAGGGAACAAGTTTCATTAGTTACTTAATTTGCTGCTGCTTCTTCTGGTTTTCGCTTAGCTGCATTCGCTTCGCTTGCATTTTCTTGTAATGAAAATTTACATTCTTACTCCGCACCTTAGCCATCAACGACTTAGTTGAGTTCGCTGGCAGCAATATTTGTTACAACTTTGTTGTTGTGGCATTTAGTTTCACTGTTGCGAATTGCAAGTGGCACACAGTTGCACAAAGTTGCTCCACACAATACTTATTTGTTTACACAAAATTTACATGAAGCATTTTGTAGCTGTTGTTGCAGCATTGCTAGTTCAGCATTAATTTCTCTCATTTCTTCCCAGCTTCCATTCGGCGTGTTGTTGTGGAAATTCCCCCGGCTTGTAATTAGTGTTATTTATTTGTGTTAGTATTTCGCTTCGCTTGTTTTTCCATTTGCAGTTGTTTGGTTTTGATCTTGACCTTTCGTTAAGATACTTAATTATGACTTATTATTACTTTAGTTGTTTTGCTTTTCAAATACATTTATATTTGTTTTTTTCTTTGCTGCGCATAAATTTGTCTACTGTTGTGCCCATTGTTTTTGGTGTTGTTGATTGTTTTCTGTTGTTGGCCTGTTGCTCCTGCACTCTTTGAGTAGTTCGAGTGTTATAGTTGGCAACGCTTACCTTTTTACTTTTGGCTGACTGCTTCGCCGCCATGTCTGACACTTCTGGCACACGTAATTAATCATAATAATTTTGCAGTTTTGCAATACTTTTTGCGCACTTTTGCACACTTTTGTGCTCTCTGATTATTTATAGCGCAGCTGTTGCCCAAAAATGTTAGCAGGACGCAGACATGCTTTTCCATGTATTGGACTCATATTTTTTAGTAGTTTTATTTAATTCGAACTGCGAGTTACAACAAGAACTATATACAGACTTAGAATATAAGTGTATGGTAATTAAATGATACTGTTTCCCAGACTTGCTTGTGATTTGAAAACATATATGTATATATATACATACTCAAACAAATTTCTAAGCCAAGTTTTTCAACAAAACCACTCGTTTTAGCCCGAACGAACAACACTAGTCGTGGAAAGTATCAACTCACAAAGTAATCTTTAATTCCCGATGAGAAATGGGTCAGTCGATCAGTCTTAAAGAAAGCATATGATTTCTGCAAATTTTGAATCTACTGGATCTACAGTTTGAGACATGCTAATTTTTAATTGTATATATAGATGGTCAGTCGGAAATATATAGCTTGAAACATTTACATATGTCTATATACATACATACTTTGCCAGACGCGCAACATTTTTAAAAAGAAAAATTAAATATATATGGTTCCAAATAGAATGCATTTTAAAGAGCTTTAACTAACTAACACTTAAAAATTAGCGCCTACTTAATAAAATTTGAAGTTTTTCAATATTACTAACAGTTTTCAAAGATATCGAGGCTTTTACAAGATTTATGAAGCCTCCGTAAAACCGTACTCTTGAAATGGCTGAATTTGGAAATATTAGGTGTAGTAAAAAGAAATCCATTATTTTTGCATGAACTTGAATGCTTTAATTATAACTATTCGTATCCAGCCTTATTCAAATGGTTTCAAACGATTTCTTGTGCAATGTTTAGATCCTGGACAATGGTAATCGATGTTTAAACTCGGCGATTTTCATTACTTGATCGTTGTTTTTTTCGATAATTGGTCTTCCAGAGCGTGGTGCATCTTTGACATCGAACGGAATCGACGAAATCAAAATTGCGCACGATTGGCTGTTACAGTATTAGGACCATAAAGGCTATTCACATTTTCAGCCGCCTGGCTTGCGTTTTCGCCCTTATCGAAGAAAAACTGTAAAATATAGCTATTTTCTCTTTGCTAGTGTCCATCTTTGACGCGCGCTCAAACAAAACTGAATCAACCAATCACAGAACTGTCAGACAAGTTTTTTTTAGTACGCCATCTTTCTAATGCCATCTTGCCGAACCCGATCGGACTTAAACAACGTGAGATACAATTAAATAACGCCATCTATTGGAAAAATAATGGATTTCTTTTTTTTTCTACACCAATATTTGCACAACAGTGTTCGCAATTGATATATAAATGTTTTATCTTTACAATTTGAGACTGAGCGCACTTAGGGGCTTTCCTTCCGACCTTAGAGTAAGTTTTGGCGACCGAGATCGGTACCATGAAACACTGCGGCAGTTGCGTTGAAAAACAACATTTAAGCAGTCTTGCACAAATGGCAAATTTCTGAAATCACATTTATAATTAAATACATAAATATTATAATTTCCCTGTTAAATTTGAAGGATTTTTGTTGGTTTTCTGCAAATTGTGAATTCTGTACTTTATTTCACTGCCTTTGATTGCTATTTGCTTTTGTGAAAGTCATAGAACTTTCCTTTATTTTAGAAATATCCTAAAAGTATTTCTTCCTTAACTTGCTGCTCCATCTACTTACTGCTTGTCTTGATCGCCCTAAAACTAATTGCATGCGAAATTTATGCTTTCCTCCAGTGTTACTTTTGCCACTTTTCTTCCGTAATGTATACCCGCTCCATTTGCATGTATAAGTTGTTGGCCAATTTAGCTTCTATTTGCCTTACAATTTATTATGTCACCAAAGGGGGTCGCTCGGGTCGCTGTAGACGAAGCCGGCTCTTGCTGACCTTGCTTCGTGCTACATGTTGCATACTACCGTGGGAGTGTGCCTGCCATTTGTTGCACGGTTGGTGGCCAAAAGCTAATATGTCATGCAGCCACACGGCATAACGGACCGTGTAACCACACCAAAGGCGACACTTGCTAGAGTTCAGACATATTTTACTTACAAATTGTTTTTGCTAATTTTTTTCCGACAGCTGGTTGAACTTGTTCGGCACATTGTAAATGCTGCTGCAACTTCTTTTCCGCTTTTTACACTTTCTGAACAGTTTCGTGCGCTTACATCGATCATGTAATTATTATGGTTGCTAGTGTTGCTGGGTGGAAGGTGGTGGCATTAGCAGAAATTTATGTATTCCAATCGCAGAAATGTGGGGATTTGGTTTCTGTTTTGCGCGCTTGTTTTATCGCTACTTTGAGCAGGAAGTATAAATTACAACTACAAAAAAAAGAGGCGCAAAACCATTCCAGATATCCAGATGCGGGCGTTATGACTTCAACAGTTCTGCGCTCCAACGAATTGCTCATAAAATCATCAACAATATATGCGAGCAAAGACATCTGTACATCATCGTCATCACAATATCGCACTCATATCTCTCCATTTTTTGTTATCCTCATGCTCGCACTAATTTCGTAGCTGTTTTGCTTCAAGAATCCATTAAGCTTTTATTGCTGAAAAGTTTTTAACTACCGAACGATAACTAATAACCAATTTTTTCTGTTCTTTTTCTTTGCAGCGAAGCGTAAGTGGAAATTCTCGTTTTTACCTTCATTACTCGTATCACTAATAACGCAAAGCATAAAATCGGTCGTAAATACAGGGAAGCAAAACCGCGCTCGTAAACATGACAGTCCGCAGTCATAGTGCTTTGGGCAAGAGGTGTGAGATGATGTTGAGCTAAAATGAAAAAAGCTGCCCAAATGCATTCGTGTGGTAGTGAAAATATAATGAACTCAGTGAGCCAAATCATCAATATTGTCACTCAAAAGCGGTGATCGAAATATTTCAGTCATAATCGAGCTAAGTCAAAAACAGTTGACTTTTGCGCCAAAACTTTGCATTTATCTTTGATATTTTTCAATATTTTGAGCTGCTATCTTTTAGCTTATCAACTTTGACGAGCTGTTTGTAAGTGGAGTTGGGTTTCTTTTTATTATTTTATTGAAAGTAGTCTGTGGATTCTTTGTGTCCGGTTATCTATAACATCCGTTTACCATAAGATGAGTTGTAGAGTGAGATCCCTTTAATTAATGATGGATGGGAGAAAGCGCAGATTGACCAAGTTCTCTAAATCAGTGCAATATTGTTGAACAGCTGAATCTCAGGAAATATTTGCAAAAACCTTACGTATAAGGTGTCTCACTGAAGAGCTAAAAGCGAAAAAAAGTTACAAATTTAAAAAACTGACAGCTGATGAAGTGGGGGTCTAAGTAAATTGGCACATGAGCATATGAAAAAAAAGAGATTATCAATCTGCAATGATGTCGCAATTGTATGAACTAGCGGTAAGTAATTTGAGTTTTACAAAATGGCGACTGTTTGAAAAAAATAGTTTTTTACCATTTTCATTTTTCCTCGTATTTGTTAAAAATAGTAAAAATTGAAATTCGCTTGGGGATGAGGCTAGTTCATACTTGAGAGAGGTCTATAAAGAAGATTCTCTGAAAGTTTCCAGTAAATCAGTGCAGTAGAACTCGAGAAATCGTGGGTATCGTATTGAAAATGTCTGGTTTGAGAAAAACACATTTAAAGTTTTACGTAAAGTCTTTTGTTCGATTAGACCCAGCTAAACCAGTTTGGAGGCCGGGTCAGTAAAATGTCTATATCTCCGAAAATAATTTAAATTTTCAAAAATCCTCTCGTATACATATTCTTAAATAGTAAAACCTTGAAAATATGAAAAAAATCGATTTTTTTGAAAGTCTACACTAGAATACTCACTTATGCTGTATTTCTTTTGTGGTATGTATAAAAGGTGCATTTTCAGAAGCGCAAGCTCGTTTTGTTCATACTCAATATTAATAAACAAAGAGTTCACTTGTGGAATTGATGACTTATTTATAATTTTTTTTAAATAAGTCGCTGTTTGAATTAAGAATATTTTCACTTCTTTTTCTTCCCTTCAAAGAATTCAAAGAGATTCAGCTTGAACCATTCAAATTGACTAAAAAAATTCATATACATACCTATATTGAAAATTTTATTGGGTAGAGAATAGCGAAATATTCTTTATATGTTTTGTACTATTTCGTGGTTGCCACATATGCGTGATGTATCTGTTTTCGAAATTGTTTGTTTTAAATTTATATCTTCCCTTTTGAATATGCTATTACTTAATGATCATTTTACTTTCCATTACTAAAATCGTTAGCTCTTAACTCTAGTAAAGTTCGAAAAATATAAGCTTTTGAATGCTGATCTGTTAAAAGCCACATTTGGGTAAGTTTTTGCGTTGACTCAAATTTATTTTGGATCATAATTAATGTTCAATCAGCACTTTAACCATCCAATTTGTTGATTGAATCCTCAGCATTAGAAACTAATTTCCATGACTTGTGTGTACACCCTTACACACCTACCGTTACCAGACTCATTTCTAATATTCTGAATATTCGGCATGTTTTTGTGTTAAAAAACGAAATTCAAGAAATCTGAGATATATCCTCATAGCTTACTAATAGTCATCGCTTTTGCGTAGCTGCGTTAGACCGCCAAGGTCGCAGTGCTTGTGTGTGTTCCTTGAAGCTCGCATTAAAGCGCTGGTTTCTTGCAGGTGTGAACATGTACGTTGTAATAGGTAAGCGTATTTATTATATTTTTATTGCGAGTCTATGTTCAACGATGCACATACGAACTAGAGTTTATATGGATACGCATAGTTTATTGGAAGAGCGCATGCGAGTAGTCATCAGCTGGTTAGGGGAATGCAAACAAACAAACCGCGAAAGAAAATAAAGCAATAAAGAGAATAAAAATTGCTGGCACGTATCTGGGAAGTGAAAATAAAAGGCGTGATAAATGCGTTGCTTAAACGGATACGAGAGTGAAATCCGAAAATTTTCACAATGCCAAAACATGCAGCACCATGTCCGCTATAAAGTGAGAGCGTGTACACGTGTTTTTACACGTTTTTTCTGCTCTTTTTTAAATGAGCTGTGCAATTCGACCTTCATTTCGTGGTAGATATTTTACGGTTTTACGGCTTCGCTACGGAAGCGTTTAATGTTTGCGTATTGCTTTGATGTGCGTGAAAATTACGAGTACTTTTTCTATGCTCTGTTATAGTTCTTTTTTAAAGAAATGTGTAACATATTTTTTTTATTGCTTTGAAGAGATCATTACGAAGTTTGATTTTATATCAAATATTCGCTTTAGTATTTGGGTAAATATGATTCGCATCCGAAATGAAAGTAAGAAATAATTAACTATAAATTAAATACTCACTAATTACGTTCTAGATGAGTATAGGTTACAGCATTAGAAATTATTACCATTTTATTATATCTCATTGAGCTTATTCAGCATTGATCGCTCTCAAACTCAAGCGGCGGGACAAGTTTGTGCAGAAAAAAATATGTTTTAATAAGCTGTTAGATATATATATATATCAATATAGATATAGCATAGATTTTTGATAGTATACTTAAACTGCTCGAATTTTTCAACATGTATACTTTGTCCTGCATGTCTTCAAAACACTAAAAGCTTAGAAAGAGAGAGGTGAAAGGGAAGGTTTTCAAATAAACCACATGCATACATTATTCCCAAAATCGTTATTTTCAATCTTATCAATTATTTAAGGCTTTTTTAAGAAAAACAAGTAGCAAAATTTTACTTTCAGTTCAGATTAGTTAAATACTTAACTTATTTAACAAAAGTAAACAGGTTTTCTGCTTGTTTTGTGTACTCACTTGTATTCGCTCTTAAATGTGCCACATTTTGATATTACTCGCTGCTACTCGTTTTCGTGTACGATTACAAATGCCAATTGGCAATGATGTTGCTCATACGCCCCGACGCTCCGACGCCTACAGCCAAACTGTTAAAGTGCTTATCTGTGTTTACGTATAAGCGCAAAAACATAACATTGTCTTAACTGTTTCCGCCGCATGGCACCATCACTGCACAAAGCGCAATTGTGTCAGCCCATATGTAGACGCCGTGTGCATATACATCCCCGCTCGGCCATTATTTGCACAACACCACACTTACACATGACAGCGCTTGCTCTTTAACCGATATTAGTGCGGGTAGCAGTTATCACTTCGACATCGTTACACACCTTTGCCGCCGAGCCGAGGCAGGAAACGTCAACACATTGACAATTCAGCATCATTCAATTGCGATAGCACCCGTGTCAGTGGCAGTTTCAATTGCCATTGATTTGGCAATGAAATGATGTTTGATGAACTCATTGTCATTGTGCGAGTACTTACAAGCTAACGTCCGCAGTACATACATACATAAATGATTTTTGTGGCCAAAGAGAAAACGGCAAAATTCGATTTTGGCAAATTTTGATGAGCTGCTGATGAAGGGCTAGTATCGATGCCTATGGCCATATACAATGATAGTTTATTTAATTTCATTCTTGTAAATATGTGGAAGCCACGAAGAAAAAATTTGTTTGTTTGTTTGAAAAGAAAATGCCACTGGTGGCCACACTTTGGCTGGCAATACTTAACTAGACTTAAGCGGTTATGCAATGTCACCACATCGCTGCGCATATATATTTACACATACAGGCATACGTACTCACACTGTGATGACAATTTGACTGCTGGAGAATTGGCTTGTAAAATGCCTGCAGGTGTCACAAGTGCCATCAAAAGTCAATTACATGCTTATCATTTATTGTCACTTTTATTACAGAAAACATTTCGTTCCCGCGCGAAATAGCGCAATTGATTTTTTTATTTTTGTCATTCCAGCTTTTCACATTTTCTTGTTCTTTTATTCAATGAATTCACCACAAAATACATTATAATTATTTTTTCCGTTGTTGCGTTGGCATCAGTTATAAAATAGTCATTCGTCTGCACAACTGAGCTGTCGTTAATCATAAAAATATTCGATTAAACAAAATTTAAAATGAAGTGACGATTGTGCTTGTTAGTTTACAGTAATTTGTCAACTGTGATGCTAGAGGCTATTTCTTACTAATTTTGGGTTGCTAAAACTGAAAATGATAGTAAAAATATTCTAACACGTATGATTAGGTGTAATCTAAGCCAAATTTCCATACACGAACTTTATTTCGATTGATCAGTTTGTTTGCCAATTATATACAATATATAGTTTTCCGATGTCGGCGGTTTCGACAAATGAGCAGCTTCTTGGAAAAAAAACGCGTGCAAAAGTTCAGATCGATATTTCAAAAACTGAGTCCGCGTGTATACAGACAGTCGGACATGGTCAAATGGGCTTAACTCATCACCTTAGTCATTTTTATATATACTTTATAAGGTTCCGACGTTTTCTTCTGGCTGTTACAAACTTTGTGGAATACTTAGTATTTCCTGTTCAGAGGTGGTGTTGTAACTTTATTAGTCTAGTAGTATTGTATATTCGCTCCAATTATTACGTACATTGAATTCACCTGATCGAGTCGAACTCGCTTATACAGCTGGCTCGAGAGTCTTAATTGATCTTTAGATAAATTCTAGGGTCAGCTAGCAAATTAATTTGTGTTCTCTATGTCTCCAATATGACGCAAATCGGTCGGTAAATAGTGCTTCTGTA